GATTATCGAAATGATAAACTGTAACTATAGTTTACTTGAAAAATAAATATAAGATTAAAAAAGTTATGACGATATATATAAATTATGAATGTTGTACTTTTTTTTACGATCGCTTAAAAATACAGTTCGTAATATAAGCTTCCAAAAATATAAGCAACTTAAACGTATTTGTATTATTTACATACTAGATGAACGTAAGATATTTGTTACGTCAACATTAAATATCCAATTTCATGAAAAATTACTAAAAAAGAAAAAAGTTTTTCTGGGAGTTCATTTGAATCTGCCATCCTTCACCTATGTCTCTGAAAACTAATTTCACTTTTCTGAGAGCAAGTTAAGAAAATTGTTCATGCTCGAAACATTCGGCGCTGAAATAAAGCCCGGTCAAATGTAAAGCTTTTAAGTTTTGCTATTCGATATCTTTTAGACATCGAACTTTCACAACTTTTATTTTATTTGAAGTTGCACCTATTTTAAAAAAATTTGAAATAATTATTTCATCCTTCTAAACAAACGACAATGGCTAGACCCGATAATTATATTGACTGATGAATATAATTCTATTAATTAACATAACCAATTATGTCACGAATATTTCGTAAGGAATTTTACCACTCCAGAGTTATATTTGACCTATTGACGTTTTTTAATCATTTATTCTAATAAAATATTTATTGATGCAAGCGATGTATTAAATGTAAAGCTAAATTTTATTTTAAAAGTTTCAAGGTTTTATTTGTAAATGAATTAAATTACAATCAAGAAATCTATTAAACCAAAGCTTAAAAAATGTTCTTGCTATTCACATGTATGACGACTTTATTTTTGCTGGCGGAGGCTAAAAATGTGGGACCTTATGGTAAGATCTTTTAAATCGTAACAGTTACTCAATAATTACTAATTAAAGTAAACACTATAATAATAGAATTCGGTTTTTTTTAATAATTGTAATAAGCTTTATTGCCATTAGTCAAACTTATTTACATTTACGAAAGTTCTGCAGTAACTATTGAGGGTTATGTACGGAAAAAAAAAAATCAATAAAATACTTTAAAAATTAATAAAGTTAATTACTAATAAAAAATTAATGGTATAACACTTTTTTGATTTAGAAAAAATGTATGAAAAAGTGTAAATTTTTTTAAATAATAAATATTAATTATTAAATGTTATGAAGTTTATTATATAAGTAAATAAGGTTAATTAGCTTTATCCATTTCAAGACTCATGTTATATATATTAATAATATATATTAATTATATACATAATTTTTATAGTTATATTATTATTATAAAAATTATGTTTATAAATTTTTTGTTTATCAATTGCTAGGGTAAAAACAAATTTTTGATTTTAGTAGCATTTACACAAAATAATACATTTAAATTACATTTAAATGCAAAATTAATACTAATAAGTTAATAAATCAAACATCTAATAATATTAGATGTTTGATTTAATAGATGTTAAATGTTTGATTTAATAAATGTGTTTAGAACTTAAATGTTTAACTATTAATTTTTTTTAAATTTGTTTCTAAATTTGCAGTGAATTAAAAATGAATTCAAAAAATTTTCTAAGTATTAAATTATTATGAAATGTTTAACATGCATAGAATTTTATGCATTAAAATTTAATGAGTTTAGGTAAAAAGAATTTTTAATGCATTGTACTTGAAATGATACAAAATGCATATAGTTTTTTGAACATTTAAATTAAATGTGCACATAATTGTATGCATGTAAATTAATTCAAGCTCAATGCATCATAAATTCTTCTAACCTAAATGCAAACTTAAATAGTTTTTTTCAAAAAACTTCCTTAATTTTATTCAGTTTTGTTTATGAATTTTTTTTATACCTTATGCTTGCACTTATATATTTTAATAAGGTTACATGCATATACATATTTTACTCATAAAAATAAACATGCAGCAGATCTCGAATATCGGGTTTTTAATCAGACTTAACGCAGATTGCTAACTCTGAAGATACAATGTTTAAATTTAGTTTTATTTGCAAAGAAACTTTAAATAATGACTTAAAGCCTTTCTGCTTTTATATTAAAGTTAATACATATCTTTAAAGTTGTATTAATATTGGTTCAAACTTAGTTGTAAACTCAAAAAATTTAGTAAATTCTAATTGTCTGCTAATAATTTATGCAATGTATCTGTAAAGCATTATTTTTTGGGAATTGTGGCAAATTGATGGCGCAGGTATTTTGTGACTAAAATATAAAAATTGTACCATTTGGAATTAAAATATAGCAAAGCTTATTTTTTAATGTAACTTAAACATTGATGATTTGAGTTTACTTAATTCAAGTTTTGTTCTTTATTAGTTTTATTTTAAAACATGTATCATAGATTAATCTAATTAAACATAATTGTGCTGCTAGAAAACTTACATATTTTTACTTAGAAAGTAAACTTTAGCTTCAATAAAGAAATTATAAATACAGTAGCTTCAATAAAGAAATTATAAGTACAGCTCTATAATGTATTTAAATATAGTCAATTTAGTCGTTTGTTAATGGTGTTACAAGTTCACGGTTGTTAAAATGTTTTTGATCATTTTAAATTAAATAGATTATCTAATTCTCAACAATATTTATCAAGTGATACTTTTTTAAACAACAATTGTTAATAGACTGCATTTTTGCAGCACAGCTAAAAGTTATATTTTTGTTACCATGATGTTTTGCATTACAATTATGATTGAAGCTTCTTAAATATTTTTGTTTAGAAAACTTTACTAAGCCTGTTACTGATGTTTCAATTTTAAATGTGACGTGGCATAGTATAACAGTAAAATTTTTTCTGCATCCTGAACTGAAGACAAGTAATACTACATACATTGTTACTGTTCGAAACAGTTCTTCATTCTATTACCAACATAATATTACACTTATAAATTATGGTTGGTTATCATATAAAGCAATTAGGCTGGCAGAAAATGCATTGTTTTACATTAACATTCAAATTCAAGATGGCCCTTCTCTGGAAAAAGATATTGAATGCAGAACAAAAGGTAATATTTTTATTTACTACTTTTATGAATCAATAGTTAAAGATATTTTTTATGCCTTGTAAGTATTTAAAAAATTATTAAAACAAATTTTGAAAAGTTGTAATTACATAAAAAAATTATAAGGTTAAAAAAAAAAAGACTACAAGATTCTTCAGGATTATTCAGATGACAATTCATACATTTTAGGCAGATTACATGTAATAAGTAGCATTATAAATGGATAACATATAACAAATGACATTATAAATAGATTATATTTAACAAATAACCATCAAATTATTTCATAAATTTTATATTTGTACTTAAAATGTTAATATTCCATAAAAAAATTTTCTAATTCACCTCCCCAAGGCTGAGAAGGCCACTACTGACAAGGAGGCTACTTAATTGTGGATATAACTCTCTTTCAACTCTATAATTTTGAAACACGAACCTTGACAAGAAACGCCGCTGCACAGAGAAACAAGTTAAGTGCTGTACTGTCAGGGACATGGTGGGGATCAAACTTGGAACCTCTCACTTATGAAGTTGTCATATATGTTAACAATGGCAGTTATCATATATGTCATTGGAGGCAGTTGTTATATGTTTGTATTATTTTATACTCTAATTGTGGTTTTATTTAATAAATGAAATGCTTTATAAATTAATTGAGTAGTTTGTGATCTTTTATAGTTTTTTAAATATGAAGTTTTATATTGCATAATTTGTAATTAATCAAAAATTTAATTTTTGGTGATTTATCAATTTTTTTTTTTAAATATTGCTATCATTTTTTTTTTAAGTAAAATATCCTCCTCCAACTTCTTTGTCAATTCAAAATATATCAGCAGATTCAGCTGTTGTTGAAGTTGTTTTACCAACAAATGATCTGGATTTCACAATTGTTACTGAATTTAAAGTTAAATGTATCCATTTTTCTTCTTTTGTAACATTTGAGAATTTTTATAACATAAGTGATTATTTGAAAGGTGATAGAAAAATTATTATCACAAATCTAAATGAGTTTACAAACTACACTGTGTTGGTTGCTACTGGTGATGGAAAAGTATTTGGCATGCATAAGATTATCTTATTCAAAACAAAAGGTTTTTTTTAATTATTAGTATACATTTTTAAATTTTAAAATTTTATTTAAAGTATATAAAATGTGTACCCTCCAACTTCTTTTTCAGCCCTAGAAATATCATATGCTGTTATTGTTACAAAATTGTTTCTTTTTATATTAAAAATAAATTGTTTTGCAGTTTTTGTTCAAACTTTTTTTAAATTTCAAATCTACTCTTATCAGTTTTTTTGTTTGTTTATGTTTTCTTTTAATATTAATATCTCTATTAATGATTTCTTTTAATATTTATCTGATTGTCAAGTTAGGCTGTCTGTTAGTCATATTAGCCTGTCTGTTAGTATGTCTGTAATAAGTCTCTTATAAAATACAATTATACAAATAGTGAAATAATAATAAATGAAACAAACATCTTTTTTGTTCTATTTTAAAATAAAGAATAAAATTTATAATTTTAGTAAAAATATTTTTTATTAATGATAGCAAATCTTTAAGTAGTAGTAGTAGTAGTAGTAGTAGTAGTAGTAGTAGTAGTAGTAGTAGTAGTAGTAGTAGTAGTAGTAGTAGTAGTAGTAGTAGTAGTAGTAGTAGTAGTAGTAGTAGTAGTAGTAGTAGTAGTAGTAGTAGTAGTAGTAGTAGTAGTAGTAGTAGTAGTAGTAGTAGTAGTAGTAGTGTTTTGGATTGCAGCGTCTATAAAGCTGGCATGCAACTCCACCTAAAGATTATAGCAGCCTCTGTAACCTCCTCCAGATTATTGCAGCCTCTATAATCTCCAGTGGGTTACAAATTGCTGAGAAATACCAAAGAAATGCTTTAAATGTGTCTTTTTGAGTGATGTTATATTTAAGTTGCTGCATCTCTCTTCAAATGAAAAGTTTTTAAGTTCACTAATACTTTTATTGTTCTTCTTTCAAGAATTTCTAATGTGTTTTAATCTTTTTATCAATAAAGATTCCAAGTAGCAGCTGCAAATTCAAGACTCAGCCTAATGTAGGTTTTGTAAAAGTTGCTTCAAAGTGATTTGTCTGTAAAAACAAACCTGCTTTTTAAAAACCCTTAATTCAAAAAAGACAATTAAAAAAAAAAAATTATAAAATTATTATACTTTTGTACTCTTTTTTTTAATGGTGGTTGCTTTTTTAGCTGTGATGTTTAATGGAAGTTGAGGGGAAAAATATATTTTATAACCATTTTACAACAATTAAAAGTTTTAATATGGAATTCATTGACAATTTTTATCAGTCCATTTGTTAAGAAACTAATTTGCTATGTATGCTAGAACTATAAGAAATTTTGTTAATTTTTTTAAATTTGTTAAGTTAAAGTAACTCAACAAATTTAAAAAAAGAAGAAATTAAATGAAAGAATAGCATGGTTTCTTTTATAAATGTATTTACCACATTTGATGCCTGTCTGAAATTATTTCCTTTATATTGTTGTATACTGTATATTATACTGTATGCTATATATTATTTCCTTTATATTGCCCAGTGTTAATATCAGAGATAATAAACATAACGACTTCTCTGTTTGAAAAAAAGTATTTAAAGACTTAAGGTGGGCATTAACCAAAATTAAAAAGATACATTTTTTCAAAAAAATAACGTTAAACCATTAAAATTTTTAAACAGAACTGAAATTATGTACCAGGGATGTAAAAGAACTCTATGGTGAGTAACTTGCATCAAAATTATTAAAAATTATAAACTGCTTTGGGTACTGATACCTTGGAAACCAAATCAATAAAATGACTTTAAGAAAGGTTATCTCAATAAAAGATTTAAAATTTTAAAATCTTTTTGAACTAAAATGACATCCACAAAAAAAGGATTGATTTTTTAGTGGATGTCATTTTAGTTCAAAAACAAGAGATTTTTGTTCATGACAACAGTTGCTATGGTTACATAAAAAAACTGTTTTTGATGGTTACAGGACCTAGGAGTCAAGTAAATTTAAAATGCTTCGCTCAAATCAATCTATTTGACCCTTAAAACATTCTGACAAAATTTCAACATGTTCTGAAAAAGATTTTACATATTGAAAACTTTACATATTGGTTTTATATTTTTAAATGAAATTTTTTCAATGTTAAACTACAAAAAAAATTTTTGATTTTGGTTAAATAGTAAGTTTTTAGTTTGATGCAAAACATTTTCAGACTTTAAATTTTAGACCATGTAATGTTCTATTAATGTTGAAATTTAGGTTGCTAAGGATGTTGCAAAGGTAAATAATTTGAATAGGGGTAAATTTATTGAAAAAATGTGTAAAAAAAAATATGTAAAAGAATATATTTTTTAAAAGTACCGAAATTTTTCTTTAAAAATGCATAAAAAATTTTTTTTTGACTCTTTTTAAAAATTTTGGTTAATGTCCACCTTAAAAAGCAGTTTTAAAAAGGTCAACTAAAAATTTTGTTCAAAAAGTATATAGCAATTAGATTTCTCCCTTTTCTTTGCATTGATAAAAACAGTAAAGTTTAGCGAAAAATTTAAAATTTAAAATTATCCATGTTTCTATTTTGTTTTTTGTAGTTTCTTAGAGCTTTAATTTGCTGCAAGTTCTTAAAACCCTTACTATTTCAAAACACGGTCAAGTTGTCTAAAAATACTTAAAAATGTGGACAAACAAGGCCTGAAGCCGCACATGCTTTCTGGGAAGGCTTGCATAATGTATTTATGTTTAGGGTTTTTTACTTATTATTTTCTCTAATTGTTTGTTCTTTTTTGTAATTTTCTATATATTCACATTTTTCTGCTATTTTTATTTTATCGAAATGGTTTGTTGTAGGTTTGTAGGTTTGTAAATGTAGGTTTTTTGATTGATTAAAATAATTTAGGATATATGTGTTTGACTTATCCAGATCATAAGCTCTAGTAGAAATTCTTACTAATGTGCTCACCACAATTTTATCAGTTTTATTAGAGTCAATAAAAACTCTTGAAATCAGTTAACTTTTTCAACATGTGTGAATTTGTTAGTGATTTTTAACTGCTGAGTCCCTAGCAGTTTTGCTCTTCAGAACCACAAAAACTGTGCGAGTATTAGTGTTATTTAAATCAGCTGTTGCATTGGTTCTATTAGGTTTTGAGACAGAATGAACTAGTTTCGGATAGTCCAGTAATAACAATGTTATTTTCTTTTTTTTTTAGTTTTGCTTGAGCAATTTTTGCTAGAAAGTCTTTGATTTATTGTCATTGTTGTTTATGATTTTCAGTCAAGGGTTGTTGTAATTTGTTCTACAAGCTTGTGTACGTTGCTATTAAGCTATCATGTTTATACTGAGTTGAGGATTTTCTACCTTGAGAGCAGTAACTTTTTCTATTAATGCTTTAATGTGTTTGGATAAGCACATAGTATATCTCATGTTGAGGTATTGCTGCTAAGTTTTGACTTTTACTAAGAATTGGACATTTCTCAACTATATCCAACATATCTCCCATATTTGTCAACTATATCCAACATATCTCCCATATTTGTCAACTATATCCAACATATCTCCCATATTTGTCAACTATATCCAACATATCTCCCATATTAAAAATGATGCTTTTTATTTTATTCTAGTTTTGAGATTTTTTTTCAACTTGTTTATTTTTCTTCTTATTTTTTTTATAAACTTGAATTTTCTTTATTGTAATTTTTGAAAGTTTTTAATTTTTTTTCTTAGTATAAAAATCCATTCATCATTCAATAGTATATATAACAATCCATTATTTATGTGGTAGTGGTGTGGTAGTGCGCATGTTTCTTAAGAGAGATGTTATCAGTTCCGAGTTTGTGATCCTCACACGCCCCCTGTTGTACTATGCCCAAATTATTTCTCTGCACAGCTGCATTTCCAAGATGAGAGTTTTAAGGCTTCTTAACTGTTGTGGCCTTCTCCGCTTCAAGGAAGTGAATAACATTTAAAAAAAAATAATTTAAGTTTCTTCTTATTATAAATAATAATCCACTAACTAAAATTTCTTCTTAGTATGAAACCTAAGTACATAAACCTTAGTGCAAACATTTAAAGAAGCTTTATTGAGAAAAAACCTTAACTACTTCTAGGGATTCAGTGAGATATTCAGATCTCTCTTATTACATAAAGCAAATTTTTACCACTGCATTTTTTTTTAATATAATAAATTTGTTTTTTAGTTTTTACCTAAATTTTTATATTTATTTTTTGTATTTTTTTTTTTTTTTTTTGTATAACCTTTCTTTTGTATAGCATTTACTGAAAGCCATTTAAAAATTTACTTATCTTAAATCTTAAAAGCCAAACTGCAACTGCAAAGCTCAACTGCAATTCAAGCACAACATTTCTGATGAATGTTTTTAAAATGAGAGTTCCACTCAAGGTAATTTTGTAATATATTACCGAAGAGTTTGAGTAAGGGTTTCTAACTTACTGTCATCAAGCAATATTTGCAAACCCTTGGAACATTCTAAAGAGAAATTGATCAGTTGGGTTTTTGCATTGTTGACATGCATTTTAGCACTTAATGACCAAGTTTTTGTTAATGCTAGGTTAGTTTAGTACTTAATGACTAATGACTTTTTAGTTAATGATAGGCTACACATCATTTCCATTAGTCATTAGTTGACACATCATTTCCATTAGTCATTAGTTGACACATCATTTCCATTAGTCATAAGTTGATACATCGTTTCCCTAAGTCACACGGAATATAGCAAAATCATAACTATTGTTTGTGATATTAAATTGATCTATATCTTCTGACTTGAACACATTTGCAAAGTTATCATTTAATTCAATGGCTTCAAAAATTGAAATTTTTTTTCACTCTTAGAAGATTTTTAACGAGGCTTTAAAATATTGCTAATATCATTCCATTTATTTTTGACAGTTTACTCAGTATTAATGTTTATAAAACCAAACAATAGCTTTGATTTTGCTATTGCTGTAGCTAGTTTTTCTTTTAGGGTAATGTATTTGTGTTTGTTTTTTGAAAGTGCATTAGATTAAAGTGGTTTTGGATAAAAGATAAGTAGAAAAAATAAAGTAAAATTTTT